AAGGTCTCTGCTGCTGTTGGCCACAGTGTAAAGTCTCGAAACCAGTCTAATGAAATGGCTGAGATGTAGCCTGCGGGGTGGGCTGGAGGAGTCTGCATAATCTCGCTTCTCATGTAACAGGTTGGGCCTGAGAGCAGGTCCAGGCTAAACGTCCCACAGTTGCTCAGACATGCATTCTAGACTTTCCCATTTCCAAGAATGCTTCAGATGACCTAGGGAAGCTGAATGACAAGGATTGTGTGAGAAGTGACAAATTACAGGGGCCTTTTGGGACCAATAATGCAAATTTGACCATACAGTGTTTCAAGACTGAATCTGACTTTTTAATGATAGGCACATCCTCACTATGCAGTTCAGGGCAGCCTGGAGCACACAGATATCCACCTGCCTCTGCCCCTGCCTCTACCTCTGCCCCTGCCTCTGTCCCTGCCTCTGCCTCTGCCTCTGTCCCTGCCCCTGCCTGTGCCTCTGCTCCCGCGATGGAGGAAATAAAGGTGTGTGCTACCATACCCAGACTGAGACTTTTCTTCTTTTTCAAGGCTGTATAATATTACGTTGTATGCTCATATGTTAAACCCCATTCTGTTTAGCCATTCATCTGTGGTGGATAACATTTTTTTTTTGGTGGATAACATTTTTGATTGTAGGAGGTACACATGCCATAGTGTTCCTGTAGGCATCAGAGGACAACTTTATGGAACCATTTCTCTCCATCTACTTTAAGCAGATTCTGAGGATTGAACTTAGGTCGTTGGGTTTTTATGGAAAGCATCTTTGCCCACTGCGCTATTTTGCCAGCCCTGTGGTGCACACTTGCCTAACTTCCTCCTGCTTTTACTTTCTCTCCACACAACAGAATCCCTGACAAAAAGCAGTTTATGGTGGCAGGAAGATGAGGCTGTTTATTCACATCTTCTTTGTCCATGAAGCAGAGAGATGTGGAAGTAAGGCCAGCCCATAAACCCCAAGGCAAATCCTCCAGTAAATCACTTCCTCCAGCTAAGTCTCAGCTTCCAAAGGTTGGAAACGTCCCAAACACCACTACCAAATAGAGATGCAGTGTTCAATGCCTTTGGTGTGCGCCTTTAACAGACATTTTATAACAAAATAATAACATCCTGTCCTGGCCTCCATAGGTACGTGATCATCTGATAATGCTAAATGTACTCTGAGAGGTAGGATTATATCCCACACTCTCCAAAATATATCCTCTTTCTAATCATCAGAAACTTAGGATTTATGACTTTATTTTCTTACTACAAAAACTTTATGAAATTACTGGGTTTTTGTTTGTTTGTGTAAATGGAGGCTGCTCTTTCATTCCTGGCCACCCAGACCCAAATAATCACACAGAAACTATATTAATTACAACACTGCTTGGCCTATTAGCTCAGACTTCTTATTAATTAACTCTTACATCTTAAATTAACCCATTTCTATTAATTGATGTATCAGCACAAAGCTGTGGCCTACTGGTAAGGTTCTGGCATCTGTCTCTTTTGGCAGCTACATGGTGTCTCTTTGATTCTACCTACTCTCTCTATATATCTCTGTTCAGATTTCTCGCCTTACTTAATTCTGCTAAGTCATCGGCCAAAGCAACTTCTTTATTAACCAATAGTAATAAAATATATTCACAACATACAGAGGAGAATCCCACATCATGTTTGTTTGCTTTTGTAGTGCTTGGAGTCAGAATTAGGGCCCTATGCATATATATCAGTGACCTGTGTTCTCAGTGCACTTGTATGATACATGGCTATGTCAGCCACATTAGAATAATTAATTACAAAAAATTAATTAATTACATTTTTAAGGTTGCAGATGGCATTAAGCTTACTGGCAGGTTTCTTTCTCATTATTTTAGGTTGGGTTTCATTGTAGCATCTTCATACCTTTGCTGGCTAGTTTATGTCAACTTGACACAAGCTAGAGTTATCAGAGAGGAGCTTTGTTTGAGAAAATGCCTCCATGAGAGCAGGCTGTAGGCTAATGCTGCCGGGCATGTTCTCAGTGATTGATGTAAAAGAACCCAGCCCATTGTGGGTGGTGCCATCCCTGGATTGGTGGTTCTGGGTCCCCTAAAAAGCAGGCTGAGTAAGCTATGTAAGCTAGCCAGTAAGCAGCTCTCCTCCATGACCTCTGTATCAGCTCCTGTCTCCAGGTTCCTGCCCTGTTTAAGTTCCTGCTGTGACTTCCCTCAGTGATGGACTGATATCTGGAACTCTAAGCTGAAATGAGCCCTTTCCTCCCCAAGTTGATTTGGTCATGTTGTTTTATCACAGCAATAGAAACCCTAACTAAAGCAACGCCCGACACTCTGACTGATCCCGCACCCCACCCCTCGCCCCGCAGGTAGTCCCTGCTTTTGCTTTCTTATCACATGCTCATTGGTTCCTGTGTCTCCAGATTGCCTGTGTGTCCACTAGGATTGGAAGGAGGGGAGATGAAAGGTGGGCGAGGCCATCCTTAGAAAAGGCAGGTGTTAGTGTATTAGGTAAAGAAATTGCTGGTGACTCCTCTCTTATAGCACTTTGACCAGAGTTCACCTTTCTGGATCATTGTCTCAGCAGATGCTTCTTACTCAATGTCCACCCTCTCCTTCCAGCAGGACGCTCTGTAGTCCCCTCCACCCTCTTCTTCCAGCAGGACCCTCTGTAGTCCCCCACCCTCTCATTCCAGCAGAACCCTCTGTAGTCCCTTTACCTTCTTTTATCTGAGAGCCCCTCACTTGGAGGAAGGATGCCTTTGGGGACAATCTTTTCCAACATCCTCAAGGCCAGCTCCATCACATAGTCTTGTTATCTCTTTAGAATACTCTGGTGGTGCTAGAGTAAGCGCTCACTAGCTATTCTTCCCAGAGGGTCTTGGTTCAATTCCTAGCTCCCACAGCACGGTTTACAACTATCTATAAGTCCAGTCCCATGGCTCCAATGCACTCTTCTGGTTTCTGGGGTCACTGTACACACATGATGCACAGTCATACATACTAACAAAACCCACATGGAAAATAATAAAAATAAAACAATTTTTTTAAGAAAAGAATACTCTGGTTTCTTTCCTATAGCCATTTTCTCTCTATCAGCGTAAGTATATGTTATTGCTTGGCCACCAGGCAGGCATTCTCAACCATACCCTTTGACCTTCTCAGAGGAAAGAATTCTTCAAGTTTGTAAGTTTGGTTGAACTTCTGAAACTTCTAAATGGCCTAATTTATTCAATATTTTCTTATGATTAAAAAGTTTTAACTTTTTTATATTCTTGCTTTTAGAGATTTTCCAACTTTGGTCTAATGTTAGCCAGCGTGTGCTCCTAACTTAAACAAGGTCAGAAGTTTCCCATGCTGTAGTGACATGACTGCAGTTGGGGGAAATGAAGCATGAGACAAAGGTTTAAAATTTTAAGATAATTTATATTTCTTTCCTTAAGTGACTTAATTTCTTAGGGCTGTTTGCAAAGTCCATCTTCTCTGAAGATTTTTGCCCCAACTTCCTACCCTTTCTTGAGTCTTTAACATAATAGGGACGCGGGAGGGCATGTTTTAGAGAACTCCCATCTGATTGCAAGTGATTGTAACCACCACTTCCTTCCTTCTCTCTCCTTCTACATGTTACCCAAGTTTATATTTGGGTTGCAAGGGGTTTCACCCCTCTCTCTCTCTCTCTCTCTCTCTCTCTCTCTCTCTCTCTCTCTCTCTCTCTGAGATGAGGTTTCCCTGCATAGCCCTGGCTGCCTCAGAACTTGCTCTGCAGACCAGAGATGGCGTACCTCTGCCTCCTGAGTGTTGGGATTAAAGGTGTGTGCCAACTATGCCTGACTGGGAATTTTACATCCTAAATCGATCCTGGCTCTCATTGCAACCTGTCACTCATGACATAAGTTGCCATTATAATCACCAAGGTAAACATTTTTCTGATCCAAATTCATGTTATTAAGACTTAAATTATCTTACAAATGAGGCTGAACATGGTGGCACATACCTTTAATCTCAGCATTCACTAACTAAATACAGGTGGGTATCTGAACTCAAGGCCATCCTGATCTGCATAGGAAGTTCTGGGCCAGCCAAAGCGTCATTTGTCTCAAAAAGAAACAAAAACTAAAATAAAAATGTAATAGGAATAAAATTATCTTATGAATGAGAAATTACCAGTAGTTTTCTCTCTGTAGATCATCTCTTGAGGAAGCCACACACAAAAATCATAAGTTATTGGCTAAGAGAAGAGAATGAAGAACTAAGCAAATTCAGATGCCTTAGTTAGGGTTTCTATTGCTGCAACAAACACCGTGACCAAATATCAAGTTAGGGAGGAAAGGGTTTATTTGGCTTACACTTCCAGGTGATAGTCCACCACTGGAGGAAGTCAGAACAGGAACTTAAGCAGAGCTGGAACCTAGAGGCAGGAACTGATACAGAAACCATGGAGGGGAGCTGCTTACTGGCTTGCTTACAGTTCAGAGGTTTCGCTTATTATTATCATGGCGGGAAACACAGTAGCATAGAAGCAGACATGGTGCTAGAGAAGGAGCTTAGAGTTCTTACATCTTACCTCATGAGCAACAGGAAGTGGTCTGAGACATCGGGCATGGCTTGAGCACATATGAGACCTCAAAGCCCACCTCCATGGTGACATACTTCCTCCAACAAGTCCAGACCCCTAATAGTGTCACTCCCTTTGGGGGCCATTTTCTTTCAATCCACAACAGGGGAGGAGATGTTTTTTCCACCCATATCATTGCCAACCTTTTAAATTTTATACCATATATTCCCAATTTGAAAAACATTAAATTTGCATTTGAAGGTATAAAGCTACCCACTAATGTTAATAGCAAAAGTCATTAAATCTAGGAATTACAATTGAGTTAAGTGTGGTCAGCTTTTGTTCTTCTTTGACTTTCTGGGTTAAAAAAAGAGAGAGAGGCATCTTAAAATATTTGTTTTTATCATTTTTAATTATTTTTGAGATTATAATATGATTGCATCAGTTCCTATTCCCTTTCCTCCCTCTAACCTCCCCCATACACCCCTCTTTGCTCCTTTTCAAGTTTACATATAATGTTAATTATATATGTATGTTTTCAGGCTGACAACCATTTGGTGCACTCTTCCTGGGGAAGACTAGTTCTCCTCCTCTTAGCATTTCTTAGTTGCTTGTAGTTCTTTGTGTGGGGCTGAGGCCTCCTGGCTTTGCCTGTGAATGTTGGCACGCCAGATGTCCTTGTTCAGTTCATGTTTAGGCAGTCATGTCAGTGAGATGAGACTTCATGGACATAGTTTTGACATTCCTGGGAGACACAAGCTCATAGCAAACTCCCTGTTCCTCTGGCTCTTACAATCATTCTCCCTCCCCGCCCATATTATTATTTTTAATGTTTTTAATTTAAATAGAATCACTTCCCCCTGCCTTTCCTTCCTCCAGTCCCTCACAGATACCCTCCCTTAAGCCCCACTCATGTTTCCCCCATTTCAAGTTGATGGATGCCTTCTCTTTGATTATTGTTGTTGCATGCTATAGTTAGTGGTTTAGATAGGAATGGCCCCCATAGGCTCCTGTATTTGAATTCTTGGCTGTTAGGGAATGATATTACTTGACAGGGATCAGGATGTGTAGCCTTGTTAGAGGAAGCGTGTCACTGGGGTGGGCTTTGGGGTTTCAGAAGCTCAAGCTAGGCCCAGTATCTTTTTCTCTTCCTGCTGCCTGAAGATCCAGATGTAGAATTCTCAGCTTCTTCTCCAACACCTTGTCTTGCTGCCTGATGCCATGCTTTCTGCCGTGCTGATAATGGACTAAACCTCTAAAGTGTAAGCCTACCCCCAATTAAATGCTTTCCTTTAGAAGACTTGCCATGGTCATGGTGTCTCTTCACAGCAATAGAATACTGACTAATACACATGCATACAATATGTATATATGTATGCACAAATGTATGTCGATCCAGTCTTCTGGGTCTGTTTTTGTTGTTTGTGTGTATATGGTTTAAAGGCTAGCCTATTTTTATTATTTTTAATTATGTTTATATATGTGTGCCTATGAGAGTGAGTGATGTGCCCATGGAGTCTAGAAGAAAGTGTCAGGTCCTCAGGAGCTAGAGTTACAGGAGTTTATGGGTTGCTTAATGTGAGTGCTGGGAACTGAACCCGTAGTTCCTCTGCAAGAGCAATATGTACTCTTAACTGTTGAGCCATTTCTCTAGTCCTAAAAAATTCTTTATTCTCAGACTGTTTAATATGTCAGTGCAAAAAGACTGGCTTTTGTGATGTAAGAGTTTATAGAAAGGCATCAACTGGTTGCGGTATAAACTTTTAATCCCAAAACTTAGGAGGCAGATGCTGCAGGATAATGTTCTTGTATCTTGTAAAGATTTGTCATTTGTATAGGTTTAATAAAATGCTGATTGGCCAGTAGCCAGGCAGGAAGTATAGGTGGGATGACCAGACTAGGAGAATTCTGCAAAGAGGAAAGGTTTAGTCTGTAGTCACCAGCCAAATGCAGAGGAATCAAGATAAGAATGCCTCTTAAGTAAGGTACCAAGCCATGTGGCTAAACATAAATAAGAATTATGGGTTAATTTAAGTTGTAAGAGATAGTTAAAAATAAGCCTGAGCTAATAGGCCCAACCATTTATAATTAATATAAGCCTCTGTGTGTTTTGTTGGGACTGAATGGCTACAAGACCAGGCAAGACAGAAACTTCTGTCTACAGACTGAGGCAGGCAGATCTCTGAGTTTGAGACCAATCTAGTCTACAAAGTGAGTTCCAGGACAGCTGGGGCTACACAGAGAAATTCTGTCTCAAAAACCAAAAAGGAAAAAAGAAAAGGGTTTATAGAAAGGCATCTCTTCCTGGTTAGTGGTTCTATTTCAGCATCTGAGTGCCTGAAGTCTACCAGGCACTTTGCTAGGTACTGAGAGGCAAGGGAAATAAAATCCAGAGTCTCCTGAAAAAAACGGTGAAGCTTTGTTTCTTAGCATTTGAACTAGGAAAAGAGGAGACAAGCAACTGAGGACTGGAGTACTATAGGTCAGTGGAAGAGCATCTGCCTAGCATGTCCAAGTACTCTATCTCTCAAACTTGAGAGGAGCGGATGGAGGAGGCAAGAGGAGCACTTAAACCAAGGAAGAGGCTCTGGAGTATGGAATAAGGAAGAGTATAGACACGGCACAGAAGCTCTGGAGTATGAAAATAAGAATGGCCTCAAGACGGTAAAACATCGTAGGCGTGATGCATAAGAAGGAAATGTGCTGGATAAGTGACAGATAAGAAAGAGAATCTCCTCCGTAGCAGAACTCCAGACCCAAAGCAAAGTGGAGAGTCAAGGCCTGGCTTTCTCAAGCAATTGGTTTGGGCTCTCAAAAATGAAAAAGTTGGGTTGGCAAGGTAGCTCAGCAGGTAAAGTATTTGCCTCGAAAACCTGATGACCACATAAAGGAACCTATGTAAAAGCGGAAGAGAGAATCAAGCTCTAACAGTTGTCCTTGACCTCCTACCCCCCCCCCCGCCGACACACACACTAAATATTTTTAATTTTTTAAGAAAAATGATTACCCTGTACCAAACAAATGCAGAAAATGTTATGTAAATTGAAAGATTTAGAACCTCTGAGGCTTAGAAGTTCTTTCCTCAAACTCCATTGTTCTCATTTGTAAATCAAGAGTAATTATGTCTACGTTACATATTGTTGTGAGAATCTGACAGAGTATAAAATGGCTTGTAGAGTGGGAGAAACATAATGCCCAATAGTGTCTTTTGTTTGTTTCTGTTATCATTATAATATGTAAATAAAACTAAATGTAGTAAGAGAGGGGCCCATAAGTTGGCTCATTCAGTTCTCACTCCTTGGGAGGTAACTTCTCCTACTGCCAAATCAGTAAAACTAGAAACTACATTTCCCAGACTCCCTTGCTTTTAGGGTCTCTATAACCAATTAGGTACCACCATTTACAGGAGACTATGTGGGTAGAAGCCATCTTGTTGCTTTTTCTACTGACAGAACAAAGTTGTCAAGATGTGAGTGCCCAGAGCATACGGCTCTTGGGCTCTTCGCCTACCTTAACATGACACCAGTCTGCGGGACCCTGACTTCTGTTTACCCCAGCCTTTTCAGTGACTCCATTATCATGTGACTCCTAGATTCGGCTCTTTCAGCTGTCATACTCAGACTCATCAGAAAGTGCTCATCTGGGTTTAGCGTCAAAGGCACTAGCTGACCTCACCAAGGTGCAGTCGAGAAGTCTCACTGCTTTCAAAATCAAAGCACAGCCACAGTTTGGGGCTGAATGCAAGGCAAGTCCTCAGCCCTCACACCCATATTAAGTCTGGAGTTACTAGGAAGAGCTAAATCTTTGTTTAAGCCAGTCCCCTGCTGGTTCTTCTGACAGTGCAGCCAAGAGTACAGTTTTCTCTGCAGGTCTCTGCTGCATAGCCCATATACCAGAGGGTTGAAACACTGTGCAAATGCAAAGACACCAAAAAGCACCAGATTTAGAGTAAAGAAAAACACCCCACACCGCTTTCCCAAACCTATGACTATGAGCGTGGGGATGACATGTAAGCTTATCTGCAGTAGATGAACGAGGACAGTTCTCCTGGCCCTGATGTTTGATCTATTAAAATGGCCAGCCCGCTTCCCTTCTCGGTATATCAGACAGTAACACACAAGGATGACACATAAAGGAAGAGCAAGGAAAAGCATGCCGATGACTCTGGCAGGCGTACCGTTCAAGATGACAGGACAGAGCGGGGCAGACTGGAAAACAGAGGCTGGAGGAGGGCTAGTGGCCTCTAGGAGGAATAAGCCAACATTCTTGAGTAGAACAGCGGTCCAGGTCCCAGTCAGAATCCTGTACTTAGCAGACTCTACAAAGGATGGAGAGTTCAGGGGATAACAAATGGCCAGGTAAGTGTTGAGCGCCATCAAGGCCAGAGTAAGGAGGATCCCTTCTCCCACACATAGCTGTGCCCCAAATACCAGCCAGCACAGCAGCAGGGGGCTGTTGGCCAGCAAGGCCCGCATTCCTTGGAAGACAACCCCCAGGCCACAGTAGGAAGAGATGCACAGCAGGTGATGACAGAGGAGGACCAGTCGGACCTCTTTCCTCAGCTGCAGATCCTGGGACACTATTGCGATAATGACAACGGTAATGGATGTGGCAATGGAGAAAGCCACCACATACACAGAGGCCTTCACCGTGGCCTCCAGTCTCAACCAGTCAGATACGTTGCAGTGCTCAATGGATAAGTTCATGGTCTTCGGGGCTGACTTGGCTCCTGGAAGAGAGAAGACAGAAATGGGTGTCTCGGCCTGAAGCTCCTTGCGTGCTTTCCAGCTCCGGTTTGTGCAAGGACTACATGGTACTTTCTTCAAGGGGATGATGATTTTAGATAGTATTGATGGGGCTCGAGGAAGCTGGAGAAATCGTGCAGGGCTTCCTTTACTTAGGGAAGAGGCATCTGGGTAAGTCATAGGAAAGAAGGCTGGACGGTATATCCTGAGTATTCAATGGCTCAAGTTTGGGGCAAGAGCCAAGCTGATGCCTGTGTGTCCTTTTCCATCAGGACCATAAAGCCAAATGACTTTTTGCTAAGCATGTGTTGAGATAATACATGCAAAGATCTAAGGAGGAGGGTGGGCAAGTCATTAGCCCAGGGCCTTTGCTCCTTTAGGTCCCTAAGACAAGAGGAGGAGACTAACAGAAGTGGACTACAGTCGCAGGTGGTCATGGGTACTTTTTAGAAAACCAACTATTTTCATAGTATTATCTCTCCTCAGTTCCCCTGTGTGTGTCTCATGCCTCACATGGTGGTTTTATTGTGCACTTTTTACTAACGAGAAAATGAAGCTTAGGAAAGCTATAGGCTTGAGAGTCCCCCAGAGGCCCGTGTGCTAAAACGTTAGACCCCGAGATGGCCCTATTGGGAGATGGCAGAACCTGTGAGACAGAGGCCTGGCGCTGGGGAATCATCATGGCTAATAGAGGGCTTACCTTCCATGCCCAAAGTCCTGGGCTTGATCCCAGCACCAACTAAAGCAGATATGGTAACACATGCCTGTAATCACACCCTGGACACAGCAATCCAAAGTCTAAGGTCATCCTTGGCTTGGCTACACAGTAAGTCTGAGGCAAAACTGGAATATATGAGACTCTGGAAGGAAGAACGAAGGGAGAGACAAAGCAGAGAGAGGGGGTGTGAGAAGAAAGGTGTGGAGCAATGGTTCTCAATATGTGGGTCATACTTAGCCCCTTAAAAGGTCACCCAAGACCACCAGAAAACACATATATTTACATTATGATTCATAACAGTAGCAAAATTGTAGTTATAAAGCAGCAAAAAAATATTATGGTTGGAGGTCACCATAATATGAAGAACTGTATTAAAGGGTCAAAATGTAAGGAAGGTTGAAAGCCACTGTCCTACACAAAAACTGGGTATTGTGGCACATGCCTTTAATGCCCACACTTGGGAGGCAGAGGCAGACCTATGTGAGTTCGGGTCAGCCAGGTCTACACAGTAAGTTCCAGGCCAGCCAGGATACATAGTAAGACCATGTCTCAAGAAAAAAGAAAAAAAAGAAAAAGAAAAAGAAAAAAAGAAAGGAAGGAAGGAAGGAAAAGAAAAAGAAAAGAAAATCCTAATCCAGAGTCCCTCAGTATTAGGTTGGGTGTAGTGATTCAAAGGCCTGCCTGAGCTACACAGTAAGATTTTGTCTTAAGTAAATAAATAAACATAGGACTTCCTTCTTAATTCTCTATTCCCAAAGATCGATATCGCTCTCTCTGTGTCTCTGTCTCTGTTTCTCTCTCTCTCTCTCTCTCTCTCTCTCTCTCTCTCTCTCTCTCTCTCTCTCTCACACACACACACACACACACACACACACACACACACTAATTGTTCTTTGGAAACCACTGCACCCATGACTGGAAGAATCACATGAACAAAACCCATAACCTTTATGCCGCTAACAGAATCATGACAGTGGTTCTCAACTTGTGGGTTGTGACCCCTTTGGGGGAGGTCACATATCAGATAATATCTCTATTATGATTCATAACAGTAGCAAAACTACAGTTTTATGAAATAGGAACACATGGCTGGAGGGATGACTCAGAGGTTAAGAGCACTGAGTGCTCTTCCAGAGGTCCTGAGTTCAATTCCCAGCAACCATGTGGTGGCTCACAATCATCTGTCTGGTGCCATCTTCTGGCCTGCAGGGACACATGCAGGCAGAATACTGTATAAAAAAGAGAAAGAAAGAAAGAAAGAAAGAAAGAAAGAAAGAAAGAAAGAAAGAAAGAAAGAAAGAAAGAAAAAAAGAGAAAGAGAAAGAGAAAGAGCAATGAAATAATTTTATGGTTGGGGGTCACTACAACATGAGGAGCTGTGTTAAAGAGCCACAGCATTGGGAAGGCTGAGAACCACTGCTCTATGGAGTGAACCTCACTCACATCTTTAAGGAGCAACTCTGAGCCTGGGCCCACAGCATCAATCCCACCTCTACCCCAGAACCTGTTGTATGATTTCACTCTCCCTTGCTGACCTGAACAGAACCTCATGTGATGATTCTGCCCACAAGGGACCTTGCCAGGTGAGAGACAGACACACCATGCATTCAGGAGTTAAGTGGGCAGTTTATTGAGAGAAGGGGAAATGGGAGGGAAGAGACCAGCCTCTGGGACCAGGAGCAGCAGAAGAGAGAAGAGAGAGAGGGAGGGCTGGAGGGAAAGCAAGAGAAAGAGGAAGAGGAAGAATAGAGATAGGCAAAATTTTGCCTTTTAAAGGGACAGGGTACTTACTATCTGCTGTGCACACAGGCATGATGCAGGAGTGACCATTCTGTCAGGGCCTCAAGGGGCGGAGCCAGGCTTGCCTCACTGCTAACACCCCATCTGTCTAGTATAGAACCAGCTCTCTTCTACCAAGTTCTCTCTCTCTTATATCCTGCAACTAGACTCTGAGTCCCAGATAGGCTACTGTTGGCCGAATAGACAGTAGTCAAGAACTTCTTGTTAATTAGAACCTCCCAACAATACATGTGTACACACACACACACACACACACACACACACACACACACACACACACACGTAGGAGCCAGTCATGATAAGCTAAATATGAACAGAGCACCCAAAGAAAGTTCTTTACTTCCAACCATTATCACCTGCCAGAGTAGAACTCAGCCATCAATAAGTTTAAATGGAGGTCTGAGTCTCAGTAGTTTACCCTAAAGTTTACCTGGTTACAGGAAGAACCACAAATTGAGATTACCTGAGCACCACCCAAGAACAGACCATCCAAAGAAAATGCCTAATCTAATGCTGTAGATAGGATCACCTGCCAGCACACACTCACCAGGATGTCCCTAGACAAATGTCAGCCAATCAGGGGTCCTGAACCTCAGAAACTCCTCACCTCCACCTTTACTACTATAAACACTCAACTCTGACTGAGCTTGAGGCTCTCCGTTTATTCCAACACATTGGACATGCGGAGAGACCAACTTTGCAAACTTGCATAAAATAAAGGCTCTTTGCTTTTACATACAGAACTCAAGTCTCCTTGTTGGCTTTTGGGAGACTTTACCAATTTGGGTATAACATTTGGGGGCTCATACCAGATCCCCCAAGCCCACTAGGACTACCACCCATAAAGCCTTCAACAGGCTGGTAAGTTTTCTGTGTTTTGTTTCATGTCTCATGTCTGTGTCTCATGTCTTTCTGTGAGCTGGCCCAGGAACCGTAAGAGCCTGTAGCGATCTAAGATCACAGGCAGGGTGCCTGGAGGAGACATTCCCCAGGGCCCTTCTGCAAAGGGTGGTTCCCTCTGGTGAGACACGCCAGTAGCAGTCTCAATTCTGTAGAGAGACACCTGGGTAGCGGTCTCCGTTTGTTGAGAGACACACATGTTGTAATAGGAGCGGCGGGGCTGCATCCCCAGCACCCCGGCTCCTGGCTGCTTGGCTAGCTTATGCCCCGAAATAACAACACACAAACTGTATTCTTTTAAACACTGCTTGGCCCGTTATATTTAGCCTCTTCGAGGCTAACTCTCTCACCTGGACTAGCCCATTTCTAATAATGTGTGTAGCACCCCAAGGTGCGCTTACCGGGAAGATTCTGGCCTATGTCCATCCTGGGTCGGAGTTCATTGCATCTGCCCCAGAGAGCAGAGCTATCGCGTCTGCCCTGGAGAGGGGAGCATAGCGTCTGTCTGAGGCGTCTTCCCCAGAGCAGAGAGCTATCGAGTCTGAGCTCACTTCCTCTTCCTCCCAGCATTCTGTTCTGCCTACTCCACCCACCTAAGGGATGACCTATCAAAATGGGCCAAGGCAGTTTGTTTATTACCAATGACCTTCCTCCATCACAAACAGATAGCAGTCTCAGTTCTGTTGAGAGACAGGCAGATAGTGGTCTCAGTTCGATAGAGGGGCGGGTCATACCCTCAAAACACTTTGAGGCTGTCATCTTTAGTTTGGTTTGGTGCCATAGTCCTGTGTGTTGTTGTGTTTTTGTCCTGACTTAGACTGACACTGACGATATGGGAGACTCAAATCATGACTTTTTTGATTTTGATATTGTGATCACTTACAGGACTTTAGAGACAGGGCCATAAGCATAGGGGTATATTTTCCTTGCTGCCTTCAACATTTCATTAAAAGGAGCCAGCCTTGGCCCCAAGCACAAGGCTGCGGGGCAGTGTGCTTGTGTGGATGGGTGGCTGGGCTATGCAGCTTTGTTATTGCAATGTAGCAAGGCTGCCAGCCACAGATGTAGGGGGCAGATGTACCCCAATAGCATTTCAAACACTAAACAGAGAGAATCTGGGATTAATTGCTATGGCTTAGAGAGGTTAACGGTCTTCCCCCCCCCCATGTTGAATATCACCTTGCCTCCTCCCATGCTGGTGGATGAGTTCCCTCCACCTGCCCTGGGGGCTGCATGCCTCAACTTCTGGTCAAACCTGACTAAGGTTTGGCTCCGTAGGCCAAGGACTCTGGCCATGCTGTGACACTGTAGCCAGACTTCCCTCCACCAGAGCTGTCTTGATCATTCAGATCCAATGTGTTATAAATATCTGTCATCATTTAGAGGGGTTGGTTACAACTTATTACTGCTTAATGTATAGAAAAAAAAACTACTGTTGGTCTCAAATGTTTCACGCTGGTACAGGATTTTATGTGATGTAAATTTAAAGGTTTTTTGTTATAGAATATGCATGTTTCTGTTCTTGTTTAAAATATTGTAGCCATACAATATATCATACACCACTGAGGGAAACCACAAGAAAAACTTTGGTAAGAGTTTTTATGTTGTTTGAAAAATGAGAAAATTTTGGTATGTTGTCTGGAAAATGAGAAAAAAAGCAGGAGACTAAAAAAATAAAGAGAGAAAAAATAAATTAAAGAAATATAGAAAACTATAAAAGGTCAAAAGGGGATATAAACTATGTTTGCTGTGGCTTCTCATACATGCAAATACTGAATATGCTTATTTTGGTGAGAAGTTTGTCTATGTAAGTTTTCTTGCAAGCATGGAGCTGAGACAGAAATGGTCTGGCTATTTTTGCTGTCTCTGCCACCCATCATTGCTGTGGCCACATTTACAGGCCTGACTTCAAAAAATTTATCATTGAGATCTTATTACTAAATTTGGGTTAGCAGAAATTCAGATGACTTTTTGGTATAGATAATGTTAAGACTGCTATATGCTGTTTTTTAATTGAAAAGCTGGCTCTAGAATTGAATTATGGCTCTTCCTTTGTTAGACCCATGTTTTATTTACTTAAAATCTATGCATGGGTAATTTTAGAGAAACCATAAGACATAATTCCATTTTAAATTTTGGATTGTCATTTTGCTACAGTTAAAGAAAATGGATGCCACATGATTTCACCGTCTTGATTAAAGATGACCACGTGGAGTGGGCCTAACCAATCTCCAAGATAGTTTGCATTGTGATAGATTTTTACATAATGACTCATGTCCCGTTCTAAAAAGGTTTTACATATATATAATTTAAAGTATTAAAGCTGCACCTCAATGTTTTTATACTCAAATGTACGTTGCTTTGCCAGCTAGACTTTGTTAATTTAAGAGTCACCCAGGTGAAAAAACAGCTAAGGTTTACAAATGTATGGCAGGACTAGAGTCCCAAAAATTGTGCAGTTGCAACAATGGACCTTAGTATTTTAGAAATGCCAGTGCCAGGTGGTAGTCACCAGAAGTACCAGCTACAGTGAAATGGAGCAGGCTGAGATCTAAAAGACAGGCTGTGGATATGCTGTCAAGGGTGGGACCAAAGAAGTACTTTATTTTTGATATTCTTAATACTGCAGAAATACATTTAAGAGATTTTAATTTTTTAGGGAAAAAAATAAATAAATTTATAAAGCTGTGAGGTATCGGTACTATAAAAATGTTTTATATTATGTTTTATATTGTTAATATTTGAAC